CCCGCGGGGCGCCTGGCCACCCCTTTCACGGCCGCCATGGGCTCCGGACAGGCCCTTCCGTACTGCGCGGTGCCGTGCCCGCCCCTGCCGCCCCGGGTGGGCCTGCCCCCCCCGCAGGGATTCTCTGCGCAGTTGGTGTCACCGTACCCGCCGGCTCTGCCCCAGAGACCCGCGCCGCGACTGCCTCCGCACCAGCCAGGCTTCATCCTGCAGTGAGCGCGGCTCCCGCCCGCCCTCGGACGCCCTCTGCCCGCCACACCAGCTTCTGCAGCAAGGCTGCCGGCGCCGGCTGCCGGGCAGGGCTGGGCTGCCCAGCAGGGTCCACCTGACTCTAGAACCGTAGGTCCGCGCTAGTAGAAGTAGAGACCCAGGTCGTCCCTGCGAGGCCCTGTGCGTGCCGGGCTGCGGCCCGTGCCTTGCGTCGGTTTGCGTGCTGCGTGTGAGTCTGAGTGTCATAGTGCTGACAAACTCATGCGTCTGGGGAGAGAAAAACATGGCTGCCACTCCGGGTTAGAGTCCTGGTCCTCCTGTTGTGGCTTTATTTCATAAGCATGACTAAGTGTATCTGTCTTGGTATTTTCAAGACAGTGCTGTGTGTCTCGCCCACGGCTGGTGCCCTGCAGGTGTGGCAGGAGTCGGCCAGCCAGGGGAGGGTGTGGCCGGCGGGGCCGCCGCACCAGGTGCTGGGCTCACGGTGCATCGGGGGCAGGTCACCATCGGTCACCCGCCCCCCCCTGCTCCTCAGGCCTCCACGCCACGAGCGCCACCCACATGGGGGCCAAGCTTCCCCAGCCTCCCCAGCCTGGGTCCCCGCTCGTCCTCAGGCGAGCCGGCCCAGGCTCCGGTGAGAAAATACTCCCCCACGTTTTTATTACATGTGTGACTTTCCTTTTTATATTGGGAAAGAAAACTTTTGACACAAGACCATTCAGGGAAATTTTTTAAAATGCAAATACTGATTAGCGCAGGTTGAGATGCGGACAAGGCGAGTGCAGTCTCCTTTCATACGAGCAGCGCGTGGCCGCACGTGCCGGTGCCCGTGCTGTGCCTTACCTTCGCTGGTGCCCGCCCTGGTGCCCTGGCCTGCAGGCGGGGCCGGGCCCGCAGCTCGGTGATCCTGGAGGCCTCGCCGCGTGCACTGTTCTGTACCAGTGGGGAGGAGCCACCCTCAGCGGGGCCTCTGCCTCTGGCCGGCTGGCACCGTACCCCAGAGCGGTGGGGCGAGGGGCAGGGAGGGCTGGGGGGCCGCCCCGCCCACACACCTGCCAGTGTGGGTGCCAGGGTGTGGGCAGGCTGTACCTCAGCCGCTCCGGAACGACCCGTGCGCCATTGGCGGAACTCTGCGCAGCGCTCACCCTGTCACCTGTCAGGCAGCCTGACCTGTGACCTGCTGCCAGCTGCTCCCCCTTGCATGACAGGGCAGGGCTGAAACGGGGCCTGCCCCAGTGGGCCGCAGGCGGGGCCGCCAGCCTTTGTCCTCACTTCCTGTGCACTCCTGTTCCTGGACTCGAACTCTACTATACTGTAACGTTTTGTAACAAGACAGAGCTGCAGGACGAGTGGCCGCCATGCCAGTCAGGCTGGCTCACCGTGTTCTGTGGCTCTCAAGTAAGCGGTGCCACCCTGCGGATACCTCTGCTGCCTGCCGGTGGTGTTGGCCACGCCCAGCCCACGCTGCCACTGCCAACCACGAGCTCGGTGTGACGTTGTGAAGGACTCGCCAGGCCAACCACACTTGCCATCCATGGCCATGCCGGGTGCCGTGGCTGTGAGCTGCAGGACCGTTTTTAATAAATCCGAAACTTGTTAATAACAGTTGTGTCACTTCTTCACCCGGGGCGCTCGCAGTGGGCTGCTTCCGAACTCCCGCCAGGTCGCTGGTGAGCGCTGGCGCTTGTGGCCCAGTGGCGGCCAGTGAGACCCCAGGCCGCCTGTCCAGGCCCCGGCACGACGGCGGCGCCTCTTCCTCGCAGCAGTGACAAGCGGCGAGCGTGCGCGTGCAGGGCTGCAGCCACGGTGCGGGTGCGACCGATGGAAGCTTGGACGCACCCAGCTCTGCCCTTGCAGTGGGGACTGGCTCGTGGGTGTTGGAAGAACCACAGGGACCCTCCCCACCGTGCCAAGGTCCAGCAGGGCACCGCCTTCCTCCGGAGGCCCAGGGCAGGGGTCCTGCCTGCTCTGCTTCATGCGCAGAGCCACGTGCCCGTGCCCGCCTGCCCTCGCCAGCAGGCTGAGCCTTGCATCTGGGCTCAAGGCCCCACAA